TCGATGGCAAGCTTAATTCAACCTAGGGCAAACACCCTTGTTGAATAAATTTGTTAATCTTTTGGGAGGGTTACCGTGTGTTTAGAAAGTATACGTTCCGACCAGGAAACCCATATCCGAATTTCACCAAAGCTCATTTGTCAGGTGACAATGTTGTTGACCTGGGGAGACAATCCCAGACCGTGGCACTGTTCGGAAGTGCATGAAAACCCTACCTCGGGTTGAGCCAACGTCGGGTTGACGCTACCTCGGTTTGACTATTCGTTGTCCGAATGTCTTAAATGAAGCATTGTCATTGTCATTATTATTATTATTATTATTATTATTAATCATTCTTTCACCTTATTTCTGTTACTTTTCTCAACATTATATTGATAAGATGTAATAGTCCTTCTTCGTCTTCTTCTTCTTCTTCTTCTATGCGCCATATTCCTTCAGGACATAACTGATCATGGCTCTCCACAATTTCCTCTCCTTTATAACTCTTAATAAATTTTGTCTTTTTCTTATCTCTTCTAAACCTTCTTCCGCCATCAATTTGCTCAAGCTCACTAAGTATGTTATTTTCCTCTGTCCCTCAGTCTGTCCTGTGAGTATCAGATTTTCCAGGCCCTCTTTCCTCATTATGTGCCCTAGAAATACCAACTATCTCTTCCTTATATTAAATATGTTTCCTTTTTGTTTCCATTTACTTTAAAAACTCGTCGTTGCTCACATGTCGGGTTCATGGTATCCTCAGCATCCTTCTGAAAAACCACATTTCTATTGCTTCAAGTCTCTTCTTCATCTTTGAGGAGATTTTCTAGCATTCACTGCCATATAGGAGGACTGGTATCACGTAACAGTTCAATACACTTTTCTTTGTTTCTAACGATATATTTCTATTTCTTAATACTTTGCTTAGCTTTTGGAAGGCATCTTTAGCTATCCCAGTGCAGCTTCGGATTTCAGTGTCACACTTTCCAATCTCTGTTAAAACACTTCCCAGACATTTAGATTTTTGTTCTTGCTTCATTTTGTTATTTCCAATTTGTAATCTGCATGTTGAGCTGTCCCTTTTGCTAACAACCATGCATTCTGTTTTCTTGCAGTTGATGTTTAATCCTTTCTTTTCGATTTCCTTCACTAGCTTCTGTAAGAGTTCTTGTCGGTCAGTCTGCTAGCTACATATGTTACCTTGTCAAGATTGTGGCCGCTAACAATGAATCCTGGTAGGACTCCTAATACTCTCAAAATCACCTAGCTGTATAGGTTGAATAAGGTAATTTTCTAAGCATAGCTTAGATGTGGCACAAGGCCGAAAATACGAGACACCCAGTCAGGATCGAACTCACAACTCAGTCATAACTGTTCTAGCGATAAAAGCTTGTTAACCATTACACCGCGCCCAGGTGCCCTTGTATAAATTGAATAAGACCGGTGAGAATCTATTTCTTACTATAGGAATACCAAGGGGATGGAGATGATTCCTTCTTGTGAACACGCCATGGTAGATCCCAGTTATAAAATTTTGAGGCTGGTGAGACGAAGAGTAAAAACATATACCGTAATTATCCATGTACAATACGCCTTCATCCATAATACGCACACCTAAAATTATGTTGAAAACATGGGAAAATGCTTCTACTCACGCATAATACGCATCCCTTGTTTGATAATCAAACACTATAAATTGTGCCTCTTCAATTTCTTTACGGCCAGCGTTTCCTACACTTAATTAAAAAAAAAATAGTTTTAAATATAGAATAATATTATTCAAATTTAGTTTTATGATAATTCTTATTTTATTTTATGGCAATTTAAAAAAAAATGTAGCTGTGCATAATACGCACCCTGATTTTGAATAATTTTTTTTTTTTTAAAATGCGTATTATATATGGGGAATTAAGGTAATAGTTTTAAATTGTCTGAGTTTCTTCGACAAACCATTGTCGTTGTTATTCATTTTTTAGTAGATTTACTTTCATTTTATTTCTCTTGCTTGTTTACATCTAATAGAAAAGCCGTCCTGGGTATGACGATAAACTACATCCGGCAGCAAGGCCTCTGATCGGGATGTTTTGACGAGCGTGGAAATAGCTCTTAATTACTGCTATTCCCAGTTTCACCCTAAGCTGGAGTGGTAGCACCTGTTAGGGACCCGGCTATAGGCAAATAGTTAACTGTGGTCAAAACACTATGAAAGTATAAAAATATATTTTTGCAGTAAAAATACCAGCAATACATTTTAAAAAAATTGCCAGCAATGAATACATATTCTATTCATACAAACCTATCCTAAAAATCTTGTCGGAATTAAATAACCCATTGAGGTGTTGATATACCGTAAAAAAACAAACTAATAAGTCAAATCTAATAGTAATAAGTGTAATAGTAATTAATTTTTATTAATTATCGACTAGGATTACTCTCATCTTATTTCTGTTATGTGTTTTCACATAGTAGTTTCGTTCTTTTATCTTATTATTCAGATAAATAGAATTAAAGAAAAAATAGTCAATAATTATTTTGGGGTCGCACATTAGCATGTGTCTTGAGGTATGGTTTAAACAAGACTACACACAACGCATGAACTTTTGGAAGAATCCTCACAGACTAAATGATAACAGTTTTCTGTAGATCTAAATATGGGTCTTAATTCCAATTCACCCTAAACGTTCTTTGAATTTTCTAGTTGGCATTCCAAGCGCGCCCGTTACTACAGGGATTAATCCATCAGTCATGTTCCATAGCTTTTTCAACTCTCCTGGTCTCGAAGGGCCAGATTGACGCCTGGCGGTGTATAACCGTGTCTCATGGGCAGGAGAGATTTCTTAGCCTTGATCGGAGGCCCCTCCTAGAGCAGGTGCCTCGATAAAAAAAAGTACTGATGGTAGTGCAAACTTAAATACACTAACCTTCATATTATGAATGAAATGTCTACTCGAAATATTGAGGATAACGCCGTGGATGATACTAGAATCAATGACGAAAGAAAGTATTTGTCCCATGGATCGGTCCTCATTCTGCTACTGTCAGAGTGAGAAGAAGAAAGTGGTGAAAAAAGGTTAACTGCCAATACATCATAAGTAATGGACGATTCTGTTTGATTGCATGGAAAGACGGAAAAGACATACCAGAGACGCTACTTGGTTTCAGTGAGAAAACAGAAGAAAGAAAAAGGAAAAATAGAAATATTTAAAGTCTCAGGCCAGTCCAATATCTCATAAATAATGGACTATTTTGTTTTGATCGCGTCGAAAGACGGAAAAGACATATCAGAGACACTACTTGGTTTCAGAGAGAAAAAGAAAAAAGAAAAAAGGGAAGATAGAAATATTTAAAGTCTCAGGCCAATCCATTACCTCATAAATAATGGACTATTTCGTTTTGATTACATGGAAAGACGGAAAAGACATATCAGAGATGCTACTTGGTTTCAGAGAGTAAAAGAAAAAATAAAAAAGGGAAGAGGTCCTCATTCTGCTACTGTCAGAGTGAGAAGAAGAAAGTGGTCAAAAAAGGTTAACTGCCAATACATCATAAGTAATGGACGATTCTGTTTGATTGCATGGAAAGACGGAAAAGACATACCAGAGACGCTACTTGGTTTCAGTGAGAAAACAGAAGAAAGAAAAAGGAAAAATAGAAATATTTAAAGTCTCAGGCCAGTCCAATATCTCATAAATAATGGACTTTTTTCTTTTGATCGCGTCGAAAGACGGAAAAGACATATCAGAGACACTACTTGGTTTCAGAGAGAAAAAGAAAAAAGAAAAAAGGGAAGATAGAAATATTTAAAGTCTCAGGCCAATCCATTACCTCATAAATAATGGACTATTTCGTTTTGATTACATGGAAAGACGGAAAAGACATATCAGAGACGCTACTTGGTTTCAGAGAGTAAAATAAAAAATAAAAAAGGGAAGATATAAATATTTAAAGTCTCAGGCCAATCCATTACCTCATAAATAATGGACTATTTTGTTTTGATCGCGTCGAAAGACGGAAAAGACATATCAGAGACGCTACTTGGTTTCAATGAGAAAAAGAAAAAAAGGGAAGATAGAAATATTTAAAGTCTCAGGCCAATCCATTACCTCATAAATAATGGACTATTTCGTTTTGATTGCATGGAAAGACGGAAAAGACATATCAGAGACGCTACTTGGTTTCAATGAGAAAAAGAAAGAAAGAAGGGGAGATATAAGTGTTTAACATCTGTTCCAGTGAAATTGAAAATCTCTCAATTTCAAATCTTTTCATTTGTACCTCTTTATTTCTGAAAATAACGACCAGCATTCATACTTATTATTGTTGTTGTTCAATATATCCTTAAAGTTGGTAAGCTCAAATATTTAACGATGTGATAGGGGGATTTCTACGGACATTTTATTGTCGTAGAATTCGCCATGATATTACTTAATCATTAAGATTCATCAAAAATACATATAGGAAGACCTTGAAATTTTCACGGGTATTTCTGTAATGAATGTTACTATTTCAAGGTTAAATGACACGTTTATTATTGCACTTATTCCATATATTGTATTATGAAATTGTTAATAAGTTTTATTATAACACTCAAGAACATTTAAACTCCTCTCAGACAATAGACATGCGCAGTTGCTTAGATGTTTGATTTTGTAACGTAAGTGACACCTTTGTTCCGATTCGTCAATGTGCCCACTGTGAATCATGGTACGCGTTACTGTTAGTGGCAAGCCTTAAAAATCTGAAAGTGTCGATTGTTTGTTTTGTATCAATGGTAATTATTCAAGCAGAAGAAAAGCAACTTGCAGTTGGTGTCTTGTAATTAAATAAAAATTAAAAACCACTCCTGGGACGACTTGTTTCTCATCGTTATTATTCCGTCAATGGCCGGACCATCGTAGGTATTAGCGATTTTCTATTCTACGTCTGGTCTTACAATTTACTTATATCGAATTTTGCTTTTCTTTCTCTTTATCCATTGCACTGTGTGCGTTCGAATGTAGATTTACACTTTCATTATTCTAAACAGAAACAGACGGTATTGTCGAAAATGCAGGAAAAAAATGATACGAACAAAAAAAATATGGCGATAGAGGAAAGATACATTAAAGAAGGTCCGAGAGAGAGAGAGAGAGAGAGAGAGAAATGGAAGAAAGAAAGAGATAGGGGTGAGAGAGAGAAAGTGAGAGGGAGAAAGAGAGAGAGAGAAATAAAGAGGAGAAAAGAGAAAAATAATACATGCTTTTCTATACTAAGTGACATGGAAGAATATCCGAAAAAAAAAATATATATATATATATATATATATATATATATATATATATATATATATATATATATCTTTCTACTCGATCTGGCATTGAAGAATGTCCGGGAAAGAGAATATGAAAAAAGGGAGATATATATATATATATATATATATATATACAGAGAGAGAGAGGGTGATAGAGAGAGAGGGTGATAGAGAGAGAGAGAGAGAGAGAGAGAGAGAGAGAGAGAGAGAGAATGTAACATTCGTTGAAGAGACTGCTCGTAGTCTGACTAAAATCAGTGGCAACAATATTCCGCACATATGAATAACAAGAGTAAGGAAATGGTAAACAGTTACAACAAGGCAATATTTTGGTTTTAATACAACTGAGTAACAAAGGAGAGAAAACAAGTCGGTATTTATATAAAAGAAGGAAGACATTAAAAGTTACGAATTATGTGGGCGTGAAAGGTCAGTCACTAAGGAAAAAGATATTAGCCATACCCGGGAGAAGGTCCCGGTGAGTATCGTCTCATCAGAATGCTAGACTTTGGGGAAGAGAGAAGAGACAGAAGACTGGAAGTGTCCCGTTTTTGTAGTTGTTTGACAGTGTCACCTAACGACTTGTTGGCGAAACTGGCAAAACAGGGGCAATGTGGGGGGGTCCTAACCCACAAACGATTATCGGCGCCCTAAGTGGAATCAGCCAGCCGAGTCTAAATTCTTGTTAAGCCGGTTGCAGTCACTGTCGGCCGATGCTCTTGGGAAGATCATGAATTCGTCTCTACATCCTTCCTGACTCCACCAGCTATGTGGAGGACAAAAATAACTTCATGAGAAGCAATAAGAAAAATGTTGTAGAATGATGAAAAAAAAGCAGAGAGAAAGAGAGAGAGAGAGAGAGAGAGAGAAAGAGAGAGAGAATGTCTGTGAGATAAATGTCTTCTACAAACTGACCAAAGACAGTTTTAAGAATTTAAAATTCTTTTCGAAACAAAGAAACGTGGTCGATTAATTCGTTTTTTTACGGTTTATCAATCCTCTTTGGGTTACGTGGTAATACACTTGGTAAAGGTATGAATCCTTTTCTATGGGTAAATAGCAGGACAGATTTCTATAGCTTTGGATGGCAACTGGTCTACCGCAGAAAGAAATGCAACGTACTGCGAGAATAAATTCTGCCTCGTCAGTCATATATCGAAAGTGTATAACGCATGGCACATAATTGAAGAGTGGGGGCCGCTTACAGTACCCCGCTGTTTGCAAACGGACCCTATGTAAGCACTGACCGGACTCAATTGCTTAACTACGGGAATAATTAGGACAGATAGCGAAAAGATAAAATTTACAAAGAGCTACAAAGAACAGGAAACTGTGGAGAGCCATGATCGTTCACGTCTTGAAGGGACAAGGCAAATAGAAGAAAAATGGATGAGATCTGGGCCCTTTGATCTTTCGATTTGCCTTGACTTTTATCTTCATGCCAAACCCCATATGTACGAGGCAAGGTTCAGGACCGAACAGTAATAGGAGAGAAGAGACGTGCGAGTCGAATTTTTATGTCCCCCCCCCCGTCAGGTCCTCTGGGTCAAAGGTTATTCGTGTCCACTTTCCTGCTTGTTACTTCTTTAGCCGCTTCGTCATTTCAGCTTTTGTTTTTACCTGCTTCCCACACAAATGCACAGACATTTGTACACACGCGCACAGACGCAAACACAAATCGACAGATGAATATTCAGAGTGTGTCCTCCAAAGATATATGCAAACTGTAAGACGAAGAGAAAGCTGGAGGCAGCAGAAATGTAGTTCTACAGAAGGATACTGAGAATTACATGGACGGGTGGGGTGGGGGTCGTAAACAATGAAAAACTTCAAAGAAAAGTGATTTCAGATTTATTGGACGTATAATGAGGAAGGGCGGCTTCGTGAATTTGAAACTTACAGATCATATCGAAGGCAAGAGGTTTAGTGGAAGGCAAAAGGCCATCTATTTGACGGGCGTGTGTGTATGGATGGCAGAACTAATAATACTAACAATAATAATAATAATAATAATAACAACAACAACAATAATAATAATAATAAATGCTCGACATTTTGAAAGAACAGCACCGGAAGATGGCTTAATTTTAATTATGCAAAATCGTGTTATTTCTCTTTCTCTCTCTCTCTCTCTCTCTCTCTCTCTCTCTCTCTCTCTCTCTCTCTCTCTCTATATATATATATATATATATATATATATATATATTTGGTTGGATATATGTGAGTTTTTGACCCTGGCTTTCACGCTTTAGCGATCGTCAGACAAACTGATTAATGTTTTAAAAAATTGGGGTTTATGTAGATTGTGTGTATTGGTGTTATTGTGGAAGTGGTGGGGGAAATTTCGTCGTTTTGTCATTCATCGTACTAACGCAAACATCGATGTATGCAGACACATATACATACTTGGTCGTCCGTCGGGACTCATACATATATAAACATATGTGGGCAGTTTCGGCTATGACACATGTATGTATACGGGTGGTGTTATATCTATACATACGCATTTGTATGTTGAAATGTTGAAATTTAAACATTCGAAATGTGGCGGAAATGTCTCGTTACTGTATACATGTCATATTAAGTGTTTTCGCGCTGAAAAATATTTCCTCGCATGTATGTATATGCGTGTGGTGGGGTTTGTGTAAAATTATGATAGGTAAAAATTATTATTATTTATATTTATTTTTAAATTTTTGAAAAAAAATATATGTTAGCTCTATCTCTGATATTGAGCGCTTTCTAATAAGTACCGCGCATATAATATATAAATAATTATACATACTTATATTATATTTATATTATATATATATATATATATATATATATATATATATATGAGTGTAAACAAAGCGATAGGTGAGCCTATCTAATCATATTATTTTTTTGGCACAAAACTATTCCGGCCTTCTCACATGTATTTTGTCATATATATATATATATATATATATGTGTGTGTGTGTGTGTGTGTGTGTGTGTGTAATCGAATGGGTAAATATATATAGGTATACGAGCGAGCGAGCGATTGCATACAAATACATCTAAATACTCTATAGTGTAAGAAAAACAGTGCTCAATGTTAAGTAACAGAGGTATTTTTAATATATATATATATATATATATATATATATATTAAGAAATATACATAATATTTTAAATTAATTGCACAACTCTGAGTTTCATGTTGAAGCAATGTTCAAACGCTGGAAATAAAACTAATGATATCAAGAACAAAGTATGCCGTGATAAAATAAAATCAAATCCTGCAAAATAAAACAAAATAATAATAATAATAATAATACATATCAATTGAAAGAAAATGATTCAAAATAAAAAAGAAAAATAAAGTAAAATGCAATTAGTAGCAAAAACTAAGTCCTTCAGAGGGAATGGCAATAAATGTAACTTATGTATCTCTGAAAAAGGAATAATCCTGAAAACTATAAAAAATTCTAACCTCTTAAACAAAAGAAGTGAGTTGATTAGCATCTGCCTACATAGATCCAAATTCCTGCTCAAACACTTTGACCCAGATTAATATAGTCTAACCGGACCAGGCGTCCACATTTACGAGTACTGATATTAATTTGACTATTTTTATTGTACAACTATTGTTAATTTTAGACGATAACGTATTTTTGCCATTCCACCATTTTCCATTATCCTATCACTACCCTTTTCAGTATATATCTATTATTTTTATTTTTTGCTTTGTTGTCTCTTTCTTTCACCTTACTATCAGAAACGTGTTTATTTACTCATCTATTTGCATACATTATTTTTATTCATTTATTTCCATTATTTATTTATTTACTTATTTGCCTATTTAGAAGTTCCTATATACGGCTTTCATTTCATTTTATTTTACCTTATGTTATCTTACTTTATCATGGCATATATTATTATTACTAATATCACTACTTTTAGTTTTTTTTAGGATTATTAATGTTAATATTAATATTATTATTAATTACTCTATTGATTCCCGGTAAAAGAATAGTGTTACCTCCCTTGATTTTATAACACCATTTCTCATTGTGAAACCAGCGTCTCTCTAAATTAGAATTTATATTGCTTAATTCCAGTCTTATTTTCAATCTTAAATTTTGATCTGGGCTGAACTTCAAATTCAAAAACAAACACAGTTCATTTAAACATTTTAACGTGTTTATTTACATATTTATATGTTTTTTAATTATTTTATTTTGAATCATTTTCTTTCCATATATATATATATATATATATATATATATATATATATATATATATATATATATATCGGTTTTGATCTCGGTGTTCACTTCTGTATATATCTACATACGCTCTATCTCTGATATTGAGCACTTTTACCCATAAATATACTATACCTTAAAACTATATTTTGTAATATATATATATATATATATATATATATATATATATATATATGCGTGTGCGTATGCGTGTGTTACCAACGCTAAGTGAGTTTTACCCCGATGTTGGGACCATATATATATATATATATATATATATATATATATATATATATTCTCTCAATCTCTCGTTTTGTAGACGAACATTTTCGCAATTGTTCTGTCCACTCGTCAGGAGGATTCAATGTTTGACTGCGATTTTCACATTATTCGTTTTATTTTTTATGCAAAGTTTAATGCAATTAATTTGTGCCCTAATTGCAGTTGAGGTTATTTTATTTTTTTTTTTTTGCCTGTGTACATGTGTGTGTGTGTGTGGTTG